CACTAAACCAGTGAAAAGACGCTGCAGAATTTTCGTGGGAAATGTAAGTTTATCTGGTACGAGACAGAGACACAAATATAACTAGAACTGAGAAAGTTTAACATTTTTCTTGACCCGATTTTTTATATCAAAACTTTAACCCGACAATCCAATAGTGCTCGCTAATAGACTGATTAGCCTGTGCTTTCAGACGTCTCTTTACTGTTCAGTTCAGTAAAATGTTTCTTTTCTTTTCATATCCACATCGATTCTTATTACTTTTATTCCACTTGTAACAATTTATTAGACTTGTCCTGAGAAACGTCAATTCCTCGAACCTCTCGCTGTTGAAAAGTTCAAAACAGTGTTCACTTGGTCTATTTTTTCAACACATCATAAGGTTTGATTTGTTTAAAATTTCGCGCAAAGCTAATAATTTAGCACTGATAGACTAGGGGGAAGGCAGCTAGCCAACACGACCCACCGCCAACTCTATTTGTCTATTTACCAGTGAATAGTGGAATTGATCGTCACATTATAACATCCCCATGGCTGAAAAGACGAGCATCTTCGGTGATGGGGATTGGAACCCGCGACCCCAATATTATGGGTAGAGCACCCTAACCACCAGATACAGAAAGTGCAGTGTTTATAAGGCTCACGCCAATTATCACCTCGCATATTGTTACATGCTATGATAAAATTCATCCAGACTTTTTCCAATCACTTACTGAATTAAATTAAAACATCTTTAGTTAAAAGCATTGCCTTCTTCTATACGGTGTACTACTATATAATTACTACTCTAGGCTTAATCTATATGGCCGAAATCTCCTAATTTATCTTGCTGTTATTTGTTTACTTTGGTGATTTTTTTTTATCCTGCAAGTTTCACAAGAGTATTTACTGTCTTACGAAGTTTAACTAAATAAAGTTAACCTTTGTTGCAATGAAAACTATACTGATTATTTCTGTTTAATCTGTTAATGTAAACTTCAGGCCATTTATCAAGAAAACACAAGAAAATTGGAATTTGTATAAATTTACTCAGAAAACGACTTAAAAGTTTTATCATAAATATGAATTACTCGACATTTTGAGGATTGTACATGTCATTAAACTATATTCTTAAGACACATAACAAGATATAAAATTCTTAGAGTTAATGTGATTACCGTGGCTCAGATTATGAAATAAGAATTCATGATTTTCGTGATTTTTTGCCGCAAAAAACGAGCTTCGTGCTCAGTGACCTTAAATGAGCTATAAGAGTGACGGTCAAGACCCAGTATTCAATCAGATGAAACTAGCTCAAGAATTAGCGGTGGGCAATGTTGACTATTTGATCTTCCTTTAATCTACCAGTTAAAAATTAGGAACGGCTACGCACAGATCGCTAGTTTGTAGCTTTGCCCAAAATATTGAAACAACCAACAATTATTTTCCTTAAATAAGAAACAAAGCTGTACATAATTTTTCTTTCAGGTTTGAGCTTTTATGTTTATAGATTTAAAGTACTTAAATAAGAACACAAAAAAAGCAGAGTCATTGAAAATTAGTTACTGAGCTTTGACGTGTATAGACAACGAAGATTCAGTTTACTATCTTCTTATGTACAACCAAACATTTGTGCAGGAAAAACTAAATTTAAAACTTATTTCAAAACAATGATATATACTCCAAAGTTCACCATTTGTTTGTTTTAAAAAATTCTTAAAACACCTATCTGTTGCCTGACACAGTTAGATTGCACTTGCTTATGCCTTTACCGAACAATCTCTATTTTTGATATGTTGTAAGATTGACAGGTTTTTAGAATTTCCATTTCTCAAAGCCTCCACTTCAAATAATCTGTCCAATGCGTTCATTTTGTGTCATTTTGACTACATATCCAGCCATTTATTCTACAGCTGCTTCCTTATATGGAGAAAGGTGTGTGTAATTTGGTGAATCTTCATAACTATGGTCATTATATATAGACTCGTGTACCTCATGACCCCACCTGCGTATCTCACACATATCTAACACATGTGCAGAACCACTAGGAAGTGACACGTGATTTTTTGGGACATCTAAAATTGATGTTTCATCCTTAGCAGTGCAGTTTCCTGTTGCATATATTTCATAGCAAATGAGCAGTCTTTTATATGTAGCTGTGAACTATCAAACAGTAAGGTTGTTATTACAACTGCAAGATGACTTAATAGCAACAATAACAAAAAAGGGTTCCAAGTGATACTAGTTTAATTTATATGTCAAAATATACTTCAAGGAGGATGAAGGTGATAAAAATAAAGTTTCATATAATAGTTGCACAATTTTAATTGCAGTTAAAAAACCAATAAATGGTGTTTTATGTCAATTTACACCATTCTTTGTACTGTGATGTCTGTTAAGTGACAAATATAATTTGCTGTTTCTACTAGAAAAATGACCCAAAACGACTCATTGGAACTTCTCTTTGGACTCTTGTAATTTTTAGTCATTGGATTTCTATATTTGAATAACTCAAAGATTCACCCTTCGAACTTTAGGCTCCTCACTTTCTTTAAAGCTGGGCTAGTCCACGTCTTTGTATAAAATTTCATGACATCTGTCATACTTTAATTTAAAGTTTGTGTTACAAAGTTAACTTTCACTTTTTGCTTCTGCCATTGAATGTTTATTGATTGTAACTTATTTCCTACTTGTAAGCCTTCTTGTTCTAGAAATCTGTGCAAACCAGTAATGAACTGTCATTTAATATATTCAGCTTCTTTACCTTTCAAAATTTTCCCATACGCACTAGTGTTTCAAATTAGATTTAGCATGTGGCATATATCAAGCATGACTTGAATTTTGTATTTTTCATTGCTAGGGTGGAAAACCATGGTTGTAAGTTTCAGGTAACATATTAGCACCCAGTTCTTTCAATAGGGAGAAGCGGCAGTTTGGACCATCACAAACAAGTGCCACAGTTGTAATCTCATTGTCTAGTAGTTTTTGTAGGCATATTCTCACCAAGTTTGCTGGTTAGAGAAACAGCCATAAACTCCAATACATAGGGGACAAGAAGAGTTGTATCGTTTTCTGTATTTGCGACAACGCCAAATAGCCAAAAAAGATTATTTCCATCCCAATCCTGTGGCCATTTCATCTAGTATTAAAACACAAATAACTTCACTGATTTCTTCTTTTCTTTCTTTTACCACTTGTTGTGATGCACTTAATGCTTCTTTTGTAAGACCTGGTGCCCCATTTTTAATAAAAGATTAATTGAGTAGAGCAAGATTGAAAGTATGTCTTTAAAAATTTTAGGTGTTGGTAAATTAAAACTGCTTTGTCAAAGTAAAATACTGCAAATATGGAAGATATGCTTTACACCCTTACAAGTCAATCTTTTTTTTTCTGATAATAATCAATGCCTTTTAAATATTTCTAAAGGGTATCAGAAAATATGCTGTCCAGCATATCAAAATCATTTGTGGAAATTAAATTTTCTTTTTTCAGATCTTGCAGAGTAACCTTTAATGAAATAACAGTTCTTTTGTGAAAACTTTTTTTTTTCTTGCTGCATCCAAATGATGAACTGTTATGTCAATTTTTATTTCTATTCTTGCAGAACTATCACTCACGTGGTAGCTATGATCTAGAAGGGTATGATCTTTAGCATTGCTCTGTACAGATGGTGTAACTGAGGTAACTAGATCTGGAGCAACATTACCAAGTATGCTTGAACTGGAAGAAAGAAGTCTTCATATACTGGCGGTGACAAATCAGTTCATACTGATTTATTTACGGAATCAATAATAAAAACATACCCGTGAAATGACATTGGTCTATTGTTACAGTTCTATACACAACACATTGACATTTTTACATTAGATACAGGCTACGACTTCAAAACTCTACAGACTGCACTGCACCTTAGCAGCTAACAGTACATGCGACAAACAAACTGGTCAATTTATAATTTCCGCTGACTTCACGAGAGACAAATCAGTTCAGTATAGATATCAGTGTAGAGCGGCTTGTTACAGTCATCCTTTAAAGCCCCCTAGCGCCGGTACTAGTATAAACACAATTATAACGTTGCCAAATAAATCCATTTTGTAAGAGTGTAGAAAGCATTCTTATCTAGTTCTTTTTCTTGTTTAATTCTATTAATAACCATTATTGTTAAAACAAACACTTTAATTAATCAGTAAAACACTAATCATACATTTCTGGGTTTTTAACTTTGAGTCCGTTTTAATTCACCATACAGTAATCTAAATTAATTTAGGTATGTGAATAATATTATTACAGTTCGTCGAATTCAATATTATTATTAGTCATACATGTACTCCATATTCATCTCACGATTATCACAAGTCGGAGTATTTTCATTAAACGATATTTTCGTTATTGTGAATTAACTGTAATGTCGGAAGCAATCGACATGGGATGGGTGGTAGGCAGAGCACAGATAGCCCATTGTGTAGGTTTGTCCTTAACTTAAAATAAATTTATATAAGTGATAAAAAATAATTATTTCTGTAGTAAAATAAAAAAATATGTAAGTTCACATTCAGAAATATATTATATTGTTTTAGCCTATGACTAAATCATTGAGTAAGATTATTTGTTCGAAAATATATATAATTAGGTAAACTTAATTCTATATATGCTGCAAAAATAGCTGTATTAAAAACTTATGTGAATTAAAATAATAAATACAACACAACGTTAAAATAGGTTCACAATTAAAAACAATTTAATTAAGGTCAATCAGTGACCACTAAAAAGTTCACTCTACATGTTTCTACGATACAATGTCATCTTCAGGAGTGAGTTGCAATACATAATCGTGTCTTATTTATACTTTTTTTATTGTTGTTAATTTAACAACCTATTTTAACGTTGTGGGTTATTTATTATTTTAACATTATACACATGTGCCAATAAATAATATTTATGTGAACTGTTTGAATTCGAGAACAAGTATAATTTTTTAGGGCGATATAACATACAATGGAGCATAACTAAAGTTATAAACTTACTTAAATCAGTAACTTCTTCTATTGAGAAATCTGGCAATTTTGCATTGTTCACAACTGTTATTAACGCTAACAATAAACCAGCAGCCATTCTTAATAAACGCATACTTCTTTTGTTAATACTAATGTACTGGAAAATGTTTATAACACTGGCTTAACTTGGCTCACTAGGGGACTGTACAAAGCTATATAGAGGGTGGAATGGTGGACACACATCCGTACAACAAAATACATTCAGTGGTTAATCTTTACATAATCAGCGCACGAACGGATGTGTAACATAATAGGCCTACATAGTAATTGGAACGACAAATATGAGGGAAAGTGGGAGGAGTTTATTTGGCATGAGTGACGAAAAATACAAAGTTCCATGTAACATGACAGGATATTACAGATCCCACCGAAACTGGTCGAATAACCTGACACTAAAACGCAGTGTTATAACACGTATATATTTGTAACATTTACAGTAAAAATATATTTAGTTTTTATCCAATAGTTATATATTTTATGCAAACTACATTCAGTTTTTCTGAATGCCTGATTATAGCAGACTCTCACTTTAGCATTCCAGCATGAATGAAAAAAAATCAAAATCAAAATAAAATGTAGTTAATATTCGATTATCCCCGTGAACTGATGAGACTTGTATTACTAAAAGACGATGTTTCCATTTAAAAGTTGTTCATTTGATTATTTCGAGAATAGTCGAAAGACTAGTCAATATTCGTGATCTTGAGTACACTAGTTTTAATAAGAAAGGTGCCGACTTTCATTCCTCTTGCCAGGGGATCCGTCCTTTAAAATGATTAATTATGATACTTTTATTTTTGGTAGGTTCTGGTCACTTTCTTACTTATCTGGTTGTTGTTGATCGATTAAATGTTGTAATACTTTTTCGATGACGAGGAACCCAATTTGAGACTAATAATGCTTGGAGACGGCTTGAATGGGTATTGAAGAAAACTTTAATATAACTTTAACATAATAGCAAATGTACAACATTTCGACAAGGTTTTGTCATCATCAGGTACAAGTTGTTTACACTGACACACACACACATATATATATATATATATATATATATA